TAGTGTGTGTGTGTGTGTGTGTGTGTGTGTGTGTGTGTGTGTGTGTGTGTGTGTGTGTGTGTGTGAGAGAGAGAGAGAGTGCACATGTGTATAAATACACACACACACACAATTTTATTTTTGTATATATAATAATGGTTTGGACTTTATGGACTGTTTCCATATAACAAATGTGATCAAGTCGTGATCAAATGTACCTAAGCTACCACCAATTTTTAGTTCTGCGATCAGTTCTTCTTTATTTGTCAAGACAAAGTCTAATACAGAATTTCCCTGTGTTGGATGCAACACCTTCTGAGTTAGGAAATTGTCATCTACAGATCTAGACAATGACAATAAAAAAGCACTTAGTGCCCCACTACAACTGCCTCAGCAAAAGTGAATTGGTGTGGTAAAGAAAAGGGAGGTTCTTCCTTCTCTATCGCTCCTGTGCAGGAGGCAGCCAGAATCCTGCAGCTGTGAGAGTGCAAGGATGTGGTGAGGCTATTAGCATTTCTGGCAGTGCAATGGATGTTGGGGGGAGAATGGCTATTGCTCTACTTCACCCTACACGTAAGCTGCATCACGAGGCCATTGCTGAGGGTACAGCAGACTGCTTGCTACACAATTATGTAAAAGTGCAAAGGCTGCTAGTGAACACACTCACCTCAACATGGCAGGAAGCATCATGCCTGATCTTGGTCCTGCAGGCATACATACTGCTTCCACCCATCACTTCTCACATGGTGTGGCAAATTCTACCTTCCTCACCCAAGAATTTCCCTAAGTCTCTGAACATTAATTTGGCCCTAGAATTTTATTCATTTATACAGCAAATCTGCCTGGGCCTAGAGCACTCCTGCATTTTAAAGAGCAATTAGAATATTTTATATCCTTTATTTCAGCTCTGCCAGCTCAAAGAAATGAGTCAGAGAAGTAGCAACCTATTCATAATTACCACCCAAGATCTATTATTTCTAAAGATAACGACAAGTTCTCAGTTTAATAATGAACGTAAGACTATAAAGTTTATAACTGTTAAGGGTAGCCACTCAGCCTTTAAATGCTGCAGAGACCCTCCTGCATCTGATGGAGAGAAACAAAATAATCCCAGAGAAACAAAATAATCATGTTACATTTGCCTCATTTGTTTGGTCACAATACACCAATTGATTCAACTACATCAGAGGTTCTCAAACTGTGGTCCGTGGACAACGGTGGTCTGCAAGCTCCATTCTGGTGATCCGCGGATAGTTCACTCTAAGATGCGTGCCTGGGCGGCCGCACACAAGAGAATGAAGGGTCACCCACGTAATTAATGGAGCCGCACAGGCGCGGCTCCACTAATTAGGTGCCTGGACCCTGGAGAAGACGCACATGTAAGGTGAGGTGGTGGCCTTGGGGAGAATAGGGGTTAGATGGGAGGGGGTAGTGGGGTGAGAAGAGGGGGTGGGGGGAATTTGGGACGTGCAGGGCTGCGGTGGCCAGAGAAAGAGGCAACTTTCCCCAACTCCAGGGCTGCGGCTGCCGGGGAGAGAGAGCTCTCCATCCCAGCCCCAGCTCGGGGGCTGCTGCAGTGACGGAGAGAGGGCACATCCATGTGGCTTGAAAGTCATAAACTGAGTATCATAAGACTAGAGAATTTCTTTTCACTCCCTCCTTCAACCATACCTCATTCTAATAATTTATATTAGAGTGACACCTGGAAGCTCCCACCATATAAAAGACACCCCAAACACCTCATTT